TATAGTAGACCGGCAAGAACGTGGTTTCAAACCGAACAAAAAAAGCAACAATCGAAGAATGTCGCAACAGAACAATACAATAGTAAATTCGAATCTGAAGAATCAATCAAAAAGCGAAAGCGAGAAGAAGCTGGTGAATCCAAAAAACCGAAGAATAAATATGCCGGCATGTCAAGGGCGAAAAGGCGTCGAATGCAAATAAAAGAGCAAGATGAGAGTGCGGCCAATAAAGCCTCAACTATGAAAGCAATTAAGTCTGCAAAAAAGGCAAGTAGGCCAACGAAAATTAGTAAAATATTACCAAAAAAACCATTGAATGAACTATCAAAGAAAAAAACCGGTAGAGCTAAGAAATCTGGTAGTAATGCAATTTTTGATAGTGATTTAGCTGATTCCACGAAAAAGAAAGCTTTCTCTATTGTATCAAAAACCATTCCAAATAAAAAGAAATCTAAAAAGTGATGTAACGATAACAATCTTCTTGGCGAAAGTAAATTTAAAAGAAAAATTCCTGTTATGATTTTTTTATATTTTATAAAAACTTGATATTCCTTTTTTAAACAATCTATTGATTTATATCCTATTTAAATTTTCAAAATAATTAATAATATATATACAGTATGTTGCAAAAAAAATGACAAAAATTTTTTTTATAATTGAAATTTTTACAATTAAATAAGCATTTATTTAGAAAACTATTGTATTCATATTCATATTAAAAAAAATTGTCTATTTTATTATTTATTTTACTTTTTAAATCTTTTATTCAAAAAGTAAAAACTATATAAACAATATATATATATATATATATTATTTAAACAGTAATTAAAAAGTATAATATAAAATTTTTGTTAAAAATTAAAATATCAAATTGAATAATTAAATAATTAATAAAGTTATATTAAATAAAATTATTATTATTATTTTTTTATAGTGAACAAGCATTAAATGTATAACCTTTATTAAACAAATTGTTTATCAATTAGTACATTAAGAATTCTATATTGTTCTGTTGCGACATTCTTCGATTGTTGCTTTTTTTGTTCGGTTTGAAACCACGTTCTTGCCGGTCTACTATA